AAAAAAGCTGGAAGTGGCGCTGTGGCTCAAGTGGTAGAGCGCTAGCTGTGAGCTGAAGAGCTGAGGGACAGCGCCCAGGCCCAGCGTTCAGGCCCCATGACTGGAATCCCCCCCCCCCAAAAAAAGATTATTTCTTTGTTGCTTCGTATATCCCTCCCCCACGGTATAACCCCTGCTTTCACTGTATTTGATGTTGTTATAATTTGTGGAGGGGAAGGGGAAAAAATCGTTTAAATAGGGATACAGGTGGACCCATTGCAACAATGAGACATACAAGTCGTTATGTCGAAAACGAACTTTACAACTTTGGTGGGGGGGAGGGGAGGAGGGTTAGGTGAGGGACGATGGGGCGAGGATGGGATGAGAAGGGGAAACAAAGGAGGAGGCTACAATGCTTGAAAGAAATGCACTCATTATCTTGCCCATGTAATTGTAACCCCTCTGTACAGTATTTTCACAATAAAAAAAAGAAAATACACTCACACGTGTGCGCATATGCATTGTTAGGAAATAATAAGACAACATGGCTCTTAAAATGTTGCCAGGAAATGGTGGCCCATGCCTGTATTCCTAGCTACTCAGGTGACTGAGATCTGAGAATCATGGTTCAAAGCCAGCCCAGGCAGGAAAGTCCATGAGATTCTTATCTCCAATTAACCACCAGACACCCAAAAGTGGCAGTGTGGCTCCAGTGGTACAGCACTAGCCTTGACCTGAAGAGCGCAGGTACAGTACCAAGCCCAAATTTCAAGCCCCATGACAAACAAGGAAAAAAAGGAGGGGCTGGGAAGGTGGCTCAGTGGTAGATTGTTTGCCTTGCATGCATGAGGCCCTGGGTTCGATTCCTCAGCACCACATAAGCAAAAAAAAAAAAAAAAAGCCAGAGGTGGTGCTGTGGCTCAAGTGGTAGAGCCCTGAAGAGCTGAGGGACAGCGCCCAGGCCCAGAGTTCAGGCCCCACGACCGGACCTCCCCCCTCCCCCAAAAAAAAGGAAAAAAGAAAAAAAATGTTAACAATTTCACAGCAACTGTTTGTCATGATGTCAATTAGAGGAAATTCCATTCAAAAGAACGATTCGAAGAATGATGAACATAAACACACACAATGTTCTTACCTCTGCCTCCCAAGTAGCCTGGATTACAGGTAAGTCTCAGTATGCTTACTTTCCCCAGAGAGTTGATGAGGTCTTTACATGATATGCATGTAAATCTGGGTGCTTTAATCGTGCCTGTACATAACCAGCCTTTACTTGTGTCCCATGTGATCTCACATCACATCTATCTCTGTCTTGACTCTGTCAATGAAGATTACCAATACAGGCTTTGTCAAGAAGCCGAAGAGAAAAAGATGCTCGCTGGGAAAGGATTTCTTCAGTCAAATGGCAGAGGAGGTGAGAGGGCTTTGAAATGAGCTGTTGTGTATTCAAAAACACCCAGGGATTCTTAGGAGCCTTCAATCTTGAGGACAGAAAAGCAAAGCACTATGATCAAAGAAGTGAGCCTCAGGTGTTTCTGAACCTGTTCACGTTCTGGTGTTGAGCAGATGGCATTTCTGGGGAGATCTCCATTAGAAATAAGGACACCCTGACAAAACTGAATGTGTGGCTCTGTGCTTTGTGGAAGACTTCTTCTCCTCTGCAAGTGAGGAGGCAGTCATTTCCTACGCTCTTGTACCCTGGACTAAAGGCTCTCTGGTCAATGTCCCAAGAATGCTTCCACCCATTCTTTATCCAAGTCCTTTCTCTCAGATAGGGTTATGAACACGAAATCTGCTCAAGTCCAATAATGGTAAATATTCCCACTCTCCATGGCTCCAGTGTTGAGTACCCAACTGTGGTTGTGGGGTTGCAGAGCATCACAGAAGGTTTTTAACGGCAGAAAGTCCTACTGGCCAGCTATGTGCAGATTCATCTGGCTAGGCTACTCAAGCTATGTTTTCTGCCTCGTTTCCACATGTAGCACACAAAAAGTTAGACCAATCCCACAGCACCAGCTGTGATGTCTTGAGAAAAACCAGCTCAAAGACTTGAGCCAGAAACGACCACTTTTGTCATCTTCTGTGGCTGTGACCAAACACCTGACCAAAGCCTGTAAAAGGACAAAAGGATCCTTTTGGTCCAAGGTTTTATGGATTTCCATCCATGGTCACTTGGCCCCCTCTCTTTGAGCCTGTGGGGAGGCAGAAATCATGACAAAGCTGTTGAGCTGGTGATGGTCAGGAAGCAGAAACGACATAATGGCAAAGCCAAGGTCCCAACAACCCTTCCCATGGGGACCCCATGACTTCACTTCCTTTTGCTTCTTAAGTAACACCAGAGGCTAGTGGCCAGCCTTGAGCACATGGGCTCTGAAGCAATTTCAGTTCCAGGTATTCATAGATATTGGATGGAGCTCAGAAGGTTGTATGCTAACATTCCCTGAAGAGTCTTACAGATCTCCGACCTTCCCCCTTCCCCCTTCCTCATGCCTGATAAACATTACATTAGATTGGACACATGACTCATGCATGCAGTCCCAGCTAGTGGGGAGGCAGCAATCGGGAGGAACACAATTCAGGGCCAGGCTGAATAAAACTGTTAGTATGACCCTACCTCAAACAGTAAGCTGGGTGTGGTGTGGCGGCATGCACCTGTGCGTGTAGCTCCATGGATGACTGCAGGTTCAAAGGATCCTGGTCCAACCTGAACTAGGAAAAACTAGGAAGGGATATGATAGATTTGCCTGAGAGAAGAGTAGGGAGTAAATTACCAGTGTGGTATGTCACCAACAATGATAAAAACTAACATCATATAGGGCACTGGTGGCTCATGCCTATAATCCTAGCTCCTCAGGAAGCTGAGATCTGATGAGTGCAGTTCAAAGTCAATCTGGGTGGGAAAGTCCGAGAGACTCTTACCTAAAATGAACCACGAAAAAGCCAGAAATAATAGCCTTGAGCATAAAGTTTAGGGGCAGTGCCTATGCCCTGGGTTCAAACCCCAGGATCAACACACACACACACACACACACACACACAAATTATGACACAACTAACCTCACATCTCAGTATATAAGAATTAGGAAAAGGGGCTGGGAAGTTGGCTCAGTGGTGGAGCGCTTGTCTTGCATGCCTGAGGCCCTGGGTTCGATTCCTCAGCACCACATAAGCAAAAAGAAAAAAGCCGGAAGTGGTACTGTGGCTCCAGTGGTAGAGCGCTAGCCTTGAGCTGAAGAGCGGAGGGACAGCACCCAGGCCCAGAGTTGAGGCCCCATGACCGGACCCCCCCCAAAAAAATAGGAAAAATATTTTATCTTAATGACAAATATATTAGTAGATTAAAATAAGAATTTGTATGCTATAGACAGTGGATAACAAGTCATCTGTAGTAGATGCAATGGCAATACACAATTTTATTGATCTCAAATACATTTTTTCTTTTTTCTTTTCAGGTAAGGCATAGGTTTATTCATCCTTCTGGCTGACACCTGGCCATCTTGACCCTCGGTGGGGGGTGGGAGGGGAGGAGAAAGACCTGGGAAAGAGCTAGAAAAAGCGCTAAATTTTTTCTTATAAAAGCTCTACGAAAAGATTGTAAATTGTGGTACATATTTGCTGCTTATAATCCAATAAAACTGGAAATTCCCGATAAATGGCTGAACCAAAATATCCACTTAAAAGGATACTTCTTTCTCAATGATCTTTGAAGACAAAATAAGGAAAGCTATCTGAAAGCTCCTCACAGGAGAAAGGAAACATTTCTCTTTACAACGAAACATTGTATCTTCAGCTTTGTTTCCCCTCTCATCACATCCAGCACTGATGCTGTTAGGTCATTCATTTGGGCAGTGATTCCATTAGGAAGTTGGGTTGACTATTCTATTCTTGCATCTGATAGAATTTACCATTTCATGAAATGTAGCTTTCATGCAAAATCTGAACTCCACTGTATGGTCATGGATATGAAAGCTTATATTTTGACCGTCTTAGGTTTCAACAGTCTGCAAGGATATCTGGAATGACAGTGTGTATCTCAGTTGTAGAAGGTTGAAGATCTCAGGCTCCTGAGACACTGAAATTGCAGATGTGAGTCACAAGCACCTGGCAGGTAATTTACAGTAGAGGATTGAAACAACATTAAGTGCATTAACCTCTATTGATCTCTTGCTGGGCTCCTTTGCTACTGCTCTGTGGAGGAGTCTAGAAGCATAGTCCCCACTTTCCTTCCTGGTCATGTGTGTCTGCTTGGCCAGATGGAATTTTGTTCACTGCAACTCTGGTATTGTAAACACAAAGGGGAAGTGCTCTTGCCATGGCTTTCTTCAACTGTGTAATGGAGAAAAGATAATATATCTTCTTCCTGTAACTGGCATGAGAGCTCAGGAGGGCAACTATTGAAGAATTACTTGAACTCAAAGAAATGATGAGTCAAGAGGGTTTATATTCCCTTAGGAAACTGAGTGGCTCTGGCATTTGACTGATGTGCTTTCTGTGATCTGTATCTTCTCCTTTACATGTTTCCCTGGGTTTCCCTTTATCAGTGTGCTTATAGTTTTAGGCAGGTACTTGCTTTGGAAGAACTGTGATTTTGGTCTGACTACGTTTAGCGATTCTTGCAGCTCAGCAGTGTCTCCCTCCCTGAAGCACTGCCCTGGGTCTGGTGTGGCCTCATTTGATTTCCCCCCAGGGTCCTGCATGGTGACTCCAGTCCCTCCCAGCAGGTTGAGGTGGATTCCCTGCCTGCACAGGAGCCAGCAGCTTCCCACACAGATGATGGCTGTTGCAAAGGAGACATTTCAACACTCAGATTTCCAGGCGTGTGGAACAGTTCATGAGAACACCTGACTGAAAGCCTAGCCCCTAGAGGGACCTGCTCTTGCTCATTCTGCAGGAAAAAAATGAGCTCAAAGCCTGAAAGGATTTCTTCTTAGAACAGAATATGCAGAAGTCTCTGCCATTAAGGAAGGCAAAGAAAAGCACCCACCAAAACCTTGCTCTTGTAAAGAAATGGTTTTAACACGCTATTAGTGTTTCCACATAGGTTTTTAATCTAAATGACCTGACATTTGAGTCTTTGTGCATTGTGCAACGCATTTCCCATAACTCATTGGAGAATATGATTTTCTCTGGTTGGGGTGCACCCATCTTGGCTGAAGAAAGGACAGCCTAGGATACAGCCCCATGCCCAGCTCTCCGGGAGGGCTGGGGGCTCAGGAACGGCAAGATTCCCTCATATTCTGTCATCTTTGCCATGCAGATGTTTGGGGCCGACTGAAATAATCGGTTGCAGTGTGAAGAAGGCTTGGGTGAGCAGCCCAAGTGCATGCTGGGTGCATGGCTGCCATTCCCACCGCTGAGCTGCTCATTTGTCTCCAACTGGGAACTGCCATTGTTGCTGAGCTCTCTTGTCAAAGCCTGGCAACTGAATGGAGGGACTGCCTTAATTCCAGGGCTTCCCTGAACCACAGGGCTGTCCCACACCCACTGCCCCCTGGGCTTGAGGCAGCCTTCCTTACTGTTCATTTTCAAGGAGCCATATGCCCAATCCTCTGAGGACCACCGTGGGACCCCAATGAAGGAAGTGAGGTGGGCAGAGCTCAGGCCACACCACCCAGACAAAGGCTTGTGTGGCAGGTGGTGGGATGGCAGCCCCAGCTCATCAGGCTGCCTGTCCCACCACCCAGACCCTGGGGAGTCCCTGGCCCCTGGGCCAATGTACTTACTTTCCTGAGCGCTTCCTCAGGGGAGGGCTCCTCTTGTTGTTCCTGCTCAGGACAAGTACCCGGCGGGGAGGCTCCAGCTCCCTGGATAGCTTGGAGCTAAGACAAGAAGTAGCTGGTTGGACAGCAGGCTCCACCCTGGGGGTTCCCTCCCAGGGGCCCTGGGGACTCAGGAGCTCATACACCCTTCCTTCAACAGGTCTGGTGGGAGGCTGACTCAGACAACAGGCTCTCATGGACTGGTGCTGGGGATTCCCATGTTTGTTGCCCCCACTGCCTACCCCAGCTCACCTTTCCAACTCATTTAGGCGGTTCATGTTGTTAAACCAAGATACGAAGTTCATGTCAGGAACCACCTGGAGCTCCTGACATGAGCCCTTTAGCTCCTTCATTAGTGCCATCACCTTGAATTCCTGGTTGAGAGAAAGGACACAGTGCTGATGGACCTGGACCAGGGCAAGGCAGGCCAGGCAGCTGACTTCGGGTCTTCACTTGGCTTCACTCTTGTCTCTCCCCAACACACTCGCCTTTCTCTACTGAGATCCAGTGCCCAACCCCAGCACGCTGTCCTAGATCCCCAGCTCAAGGCCCCATCTCCTGACCTCTGGAGGACAAGTGATGTGACCATCCACATCAGAGGGAAGGAAGGACCTAAGGGACCCGCACAGCTGGCTGCCTGCAGAGGAAGGTGTCATTTTCTCACCTCTCGTCTTCTTTTTACATTCAGCCAAGAGCCCTGCAAAGCAAAGAATATGTAATTGCTAAGAAAATGCTGTTTCCACTTGGCGCCCTACCAAGTCCTTCCAGCAGAGGGCAGGCTGGGTGCACAGCTGGACTAGGATTGCTCTCAGTCTAGGGCAGGGAGGCCTAGGTCCTGAGGACAGGGAGCTCACTGCTCAACTCTCTGTGCACGTGGCAGAGACTTGAGGCTTCCAGTGACAAGGCCATGCTATTAGCTTGAGCACCTGCTGTCACACTGCCACCCTTGCTCACCACCCTCTGAGACATGGCCCATGTCATCAGCAGCACTGAGGTCTGAGGGCATAGGGCATCACAAGTAGGATTGCTGTGGTGCTTGGCACTCTGGGGCTGGGGAGGACGTGGGCTCTTGCTGGAGGTCAAGGGGCAGGGAGAGGCTCTTTGTCCCCAATCTGCTTTGCCAGGGCTGGGGCCCTGTTCACTCACATCCTTGGAATCTTGGTCTTTGTGCAGTGAGGCCAGGTGTGTGAGGACGGTGCCCAGGTAAGGGACTGTGCCCTCGGGATAGTCCTGTGGCATTGGGTGCAGAAAGATCAGAAGAGTCCTGTTAAGCTCCTCGCAAGAACCTGACTTACCCCAGTCCCATGGAACCATCTATCTAGCAGAACTTGGGGCAAGACAGGCTCATTCCTCAATGATCCACCCTCTACCCCATACCAAAGACACAGCCCTGCATGGGGAAATCTATCTAGGTCTGGGCCCCTCCAGGGCTGGCACTTGACACACGGGCAAGGTCTGTGGCCCTGCCCTTCACCTGCTCCTCTACTCTTGTGCAGGCCTTAGTGCTGTGGCTGCAACTCATTGCTGCAACATGCCATCTGAGCAGAGGCCAGGTGTGATGGGGCATTAAGGGAGTGGGCCAACAGGTCGGTTGGGTTGGGGGACCCCCCTCAACTACTCCTTCTAGAAAGCCCCTGGCCTCAGGCATGTACACTCACCAATTGTTGAGGCTTCTTGCAGCCTCTCTTGAGTTTCTTCCAGAAGCTCTTGTATCTGGACTCTCGCCCCTGGCAGCAGTTAGCATGGATGTAGAACATACTCCTTCTCTAACCATTCAACCCTCCAAAGTCCCCTCTTGCCGCAAATGTGGTGTGACAGCCATGGCTTGGGCCCTAGGATCTCAGGCTCCCTGTGACCATCAGCACTGTATCCCTGGGCAGGCCAGAGCATATGCCAAGGCCTGTCTCCATGGTGGATGTGGCCATTTGCATCCCCTAAAAGATGTTTCTGGGGCTGCTTGATCTGAAGGGACATCTTGACCTCACATGACTGGCTAGGCTTCCCTCCTGGGACGGGAAGGCCACCCAGAAATAGAGCCAGGGCATGGCTTGGGCGTGCCAGGCTGGCGGGGTGTAGAGAGGCAGCCTCAACACAGGCCACACTCAGGAGGAAGCTTGACAGGAAATCTCAGCAGCAACCTTGACAACCCAACCCTGTCACTTTCTCCACCCTCCTCAGACACCCAGGTGGCCTCCTCCACTCACTCCACGGGGTCCCCAGGGACCTCCTGTTCCCCATACGATCTGTCCCCCACCCAAGCCCACGACGGATGCTTCTCCTAGCTATGTTGGATATGCTCCTTGAATTCCATCAGAGAGAAAATTTCCCTCGCCTCCGTCCGAGGGTCAAATCTTATTCCGGGGCTCATACAACCTTGTACACTTGCTCCTGGCAGTGTATCCTCCTCAGCTCCTGATAGACAGCTACTCTCTCCCTGGACGATGGGCAGAGACAAGGTGACAGATGGGAGAGGAAGGGAGAGGAGGAGTGTGAATGGATTTCCCATTTGGAGGCAGGACTTTATGCTAATGGGCACAGGGCTGTGCAGGGAGAGCCACTGTGACCCTTAGGTCACATGGTTAGGAACAAAGTCTTGAGGGGAAACCTCCAGCTCCACCCCAATTCCCAGAGTGGTTTTGCTTGGAAGAGCACTGCACAGACTGGTGTAGCTGTGATGTCTCTGAAGGAAAACGTCCCCAAGGGCCTTGTGCAATGTATGGCAGAAGAGGAATCCCAACCTAGCAGGCAAATCCTAGGCAAGGCCATAGAGCTGTGGTCTCTGCCATGGGGCACTGCCATTGGGCTCCCAGAAGATGGACGCTAAGCTGAGGAAGCAAGGGTTGCCCAGGAGAAAGGTGCACCCACCTGCAAACCAATCTCCACGTCTTCTTCAGGCCTTGGAGCTGGCTGCTCTGCAGAGCACACACGATTGCAAATAAGGTGGAGATATTTTTTCGTAGGTGGCACTCCTAGGAGTGAAGAATGGGTGAGGAGAGCTGTGGAGGAAACTCCTGGGCTCCTGCTTGGCCTGGGGCTGGGCCTTTGTTACTAGGCTGAACTGGGACAGCTTGGGGGAGGGGAATGACAGTGGAAGCAGGGCAGGAATGCACACAGCCCAAGTGAGGGCAGAGTAGGAGGAGGGCTTTAAGGCTAGGCAGTGGCTGTGAGTGAGCAGGCAGCCACTTGGTGGGAGTGGGAAAGGGAAGAAGGGTCCCTGGGCCCCTCCTGCTCATACCAGAGCCACCTCTATCCAGTGCTGCACCACTTGGGCTCTCTCTGCTGCCTCCATGCTGTGGTCCCCGAGGCACGTGGTGATCACACAACTGGAGACCTGCTCACAGTGCTCCAGTATGGGAATCAGAGTGGGTGCCAGGCGCTCCAGACACTCCTCCTGGTCAGCTTGTACATACACGTAACTCAAAAGGTGGTAAGGGATGAGTCTTTTGAACAGTTTCTGAAAAGATGAAATGAATGGTCAGCATGACTCTGCCCTGAGGCAGGTGTGGCAGTAGAGGTGCAAAGGAAAGCCCGCACGCCCAGCCCTGCCAAGCTACTTACGACGGCCATGATGGAGAACTGATCTGCCTTCTCTTCGGGCAGCCAATCTAGCACTCGAGCTGTCTCCTCATCACTGTCTAACTCTAGCATGGACATCCGGGATGGCCCCCTGGAGGAAATCTGCACATCCTCCATCTCCACGCACTCCCAGGGAGCCGGGTCTATTTCCGCAGGCCTGTCTGCCTCGCTAGCTGGTGGGCGAGCAGGCTCTTGCTCGGCAGCACAGGTCAGAGCACCATCGGCGTCTTCAGCCACTGGCGGCTCATAGTATTTGTCAAAATAAGTAACTGGAGGAATGTCCCCTCCTAAGCCTGTGTCAGCTTCCAGCTGCACAGATGGGACGGGTGCTACATCCCGGCTGGGCGGCAGAGGCTCCTGTACGGGTGGCTCTGGCTGCTCAGCAACAGACTCAAGGCAGTCAGCCTCTCCAGCAAGCGGGCAACACTGCACTTGCTTCCCAGATGGACCGAGAGACTCCCCTTGCTCCCCAGATGGACCGAGAGACTCCCCTTGCTCCCCAGACGGACCGAGAGACTCCCCTTGCTCCCCAAATGGACCGAGAGACTCCACTTGCTCCCCAGACGGACCCAGAGACTCCACTTGCTCCCCAGATGGACCGAGAACAGACTCCAGGCTTTCATCTCCTGGAGCCTCTAGCTCTGGCCCTGAGCTGCTCACTACAATAGGTTTGGAGGGCTCTGGTTGAACTGCAGATGCGTCTCCTTCTTGGGCGGGTTGCAGAATTGGGTCACACTGGCCTTCAGGCAGCTGGGCTTCTGGAGTGGGCACTGGCATACCCTCATCACTGGCATGTATTGGTGCATCAATGGCTGGCTCTAGAGCCATTGCTACCACTGGGCTAAGTGCCCCTGGCACTGAGGGATCAGCCACTCTTTCTTCATTTGAGTATTGCAGGTCAAGATCCAGACTTGGTGCTGGAGATGGTGCAAGGCTGTGGGCCATTGGCTGACCTGCAGGTGGATTGATCTCTTCGGTCACAGTTGACGGAGGTGAGTCAGAACATCCGTCTGCATGGGGTTCTTGTTGGAGCTCCACTGCAGCTCCTGGAGCTGAGGGGGCCTCTGAGGCTACAGCTAGTTCCAGCTCTGACTGACATGGTAGTACTGCTTCTACGCAGGGTGTTGGATCCAGTGGGTGTACAGTGGTTTTCTCATAAAGCCTGGCAGTTGGTGGAACAGCTGCAAGAAAAGATCCCCTACAGCACTGCCTTCCCCTCAGTCATTCCTATGGCCACGAGACCCCTGCCTGCTGAGAAGCCCTAGTCCCTGGACTCCACCCCAGGAAGCCCTGCCAGGACAGGTTTCATGCCAAGGCATCCAGGTTCCCTGGCTGTCCTGTTGATGGCCCCATGGTAGCATGGGAGCTGCCTTCAGGTGGACAAAGCTTGGAATCCCACACCTGTTCTCTCCTTTGCCAGCCCATGCTACTCACCCTCCAGCTCTGGCTTCTTGAGAAGCATGTGCTCCAGCTGACTGAGCAGAAGGCGGGCCTGCTGTTCCTCAACAGAGCCAGGCATATTGAGGTGTAGATATGTTACCAGGTGTTGCAGGCAGGACGTGTCCGGTGCTCCAGTGAAGTCTTCTGGGTACTCCCTCATCCAGGAGCCCAGTATGAAGGAGAAGGCTCTAGGTGCAGAGGGAGAAGCAGCAGAGTCAGAGGCTGGGCCTACCCTCCTTTCAGACCCCCTCAAACACAGGTGTATGAATTGGGCTCCTGGGCCTGCCCATGCCCATAGCCCATAACGGGCCTGGTCACCTGGCTGCACTACACACATTGTCTACACGAGCGATGTGACAAGACCTACATCACAGATGAAACCATCCCACCCACACCCACCGCCTGGTGTCCCTGGGCATGCTCCCCAAACTGTCATCTCTGGGGTGCTTTGTCCTGTTGCTTGTTATCTCCAGAACCCAGAATCTCCTCACTTGGGCAGCCTCTAGTGGCCTCTAGTGGCCTCCTGTTCACATAGAGCCAGGTGTCAACAGTCTTGTCCTGACTCTCAACCCAAACAGCACATCCTGGCCCTTGAGCACTCACTGAGGCCCCTGGAATCTCAGGGGATTGTCCATGATGGCGCAGTGTCGCCATCCCCGTTCTGTGTGGTCCTGAGGATTCCCAGGGCAGGCAAATGGGACTGGGTTGGTCACATGCCAGAGGCTTCTCCCACCCTCCATAGGCACACAACAAGCACACACAATCCCTGCAGGGACACATTTCTACCTTGACTTGAGCCTTCCCCTTAGGAATCTCAATTTCCCTTTGCCCAGGCCTCCCAAAGCCAGCTCTTTGCAACCACCCCTAAGACACATGCCCTCCCTCCTACCCCAGGCACACTCACCGCTGCAGGTGCTCCTGCGCGCCTGCCTTCTCCTCCTCATATTCAAGGAAATGACTGTATCTAGGGGACACCATGAGAATGTCAAACATACTGTGTCTGCACATGATGTCTACAGTCCCAATGGTCTCTCTGAGCACAGGATGGAGCTCAGGATGACAAGGATTTCCCTGTTCTTTCACTGAGTGGTGTCAAGCGTCTGGAAATGCATCCCCACACAAGATGATGAGCCCATTAGCTTCCTCCCCCACACACACCTCAATGGGCATGAGGTCTCTCAGTATTTCCCCTGGGCTTCCTAGTGAGGTTCAGGTAGGTCATGATGCCCAGATGGAACATCAACCACCACTGTCAATTTGGAAAATGCTTTTCTTGAGGTCTTATTCATAGGAGGCCTCGATGTAGAGAGGAGTTCTTCATGAGAGAGGGGCTTCTCCCAGCTCCGCCCACATCCCTGCGCTCCCTAGTGTGTAAGGTCATGATGTGGACAGGCCTGTTCAGGACCCATCCCACCCCTCCAGCCTCAGGCAGTGAGGATGTTGCTCCTAGCATGCCAGTAGTCAGGATCCAAGCAGATCCTTACTGGTGCAGCACATGCCAAGGCCTAGCCAATGGACCCATCCCTAGGATCAGAGGTGGCACTTACCTGTTGAACAGCAGGTTCAACACGTGATGGGCAGTCGTGAAAGTGCGGTATGTCCCCAGAAACACTGGGACAAACACAGCATCTCCGAAGAGCAGGGCAGGCACTAAGTGGTCTACTAGCTTCTCCACTTTGCCTCCCTGCAGGTATCCTGCTTTGCAGGGATCAGGAAGGGTGGGGGCTAACACCCACTCTAACTGCTGTGGAGAAATGAGACACAGTTCAAACATAGAAACAGCAGCACACTGGGAAAAGGCTCAGGGCCATACAATGAAAATAACCTGGGGACACACACACGCACACACACACACACACACACACACACACACACACACACACACACACACACACAAACTCATGTATTTACACCCCACTCAAGAATGTAAACACATGGCATCTGAGGCTGCCAGAAGGTAGTAGGTTAGGGGACTCGCCCTCCCTCCGCACCCTTCTTCTTCCTTGATTCACCCGTGAAATACGTGGTGTAGTTCTTCTCAGGCGACTGGGACAAGGGATGACCCAGCATCTTCGAACAATATCGAACTCGCTTTGTGGCGCTGTTCTGTGGAATAGCGGGCAACAGCAGGAGAACATCCTGCTGTCCCTCCGCTTTCCATACAGCTCAGCAGGTTCAGCTGATAACCAGCACCAACTCCTGCTGGCCCTTTGTGACATCATCTCTGGAGATATCATCATCAATGAAGGGAAGTCCCCTCTTCTGAACTCAGCCTCAGACCAGACCTCTGCAAATGTCCCCTGGGTGCTAGCTGGGCCCCATGGCAGGGCAGGAGCCAAACTAGACACACTCCACATACACAACCAACTGTCCTCTGTCTAGTTAATGTCATGGTTATGAGGACACACTTAATGAGTTCCCACCAGATCCCTCCTACCAGTTTAAATGTCTCCTCATGTACAAGTGCCTGTGCTTGCCTGCCTCCCCCAGTCACCCATTCATTCCTAGTGCTTCCACCCAGCACCTGCTTGAGCAAATCATACACTGAATAAGACCCAGTATCTATCCAATGCTTGGGAACCCTACAGCTGGTGTCAGTCATTTTCACTGCACTCTTGTAGAGATTCAGTCCCTGCACATGGTGTCTAGACAGAGAATAAACTGCAAACCACTTGTCCTTGCCTAGGCCTCTCTTTCCTGTAGTAGGAGCCTCCAGGAGGAGGATACCAAGTTCAAGGAGGATAACTAGGCAAGAGATTCTATCTCAAATCCATGCAAGCCAACAATGAACGACAAAGAAAAAGGAAAGGCAACATCTGAGCTCTATGTGGGGGTGAGCATTTCACAAGTGCACACACAGATGAGGTCTTCTCTATTGGGAAGCCTACCCATGAGAGACTCCCTTGTTCAACACACCTATTGAGAGAGGTACACACATGACCTCACATGGACACATAGACACAGATTCATCCACACAGGCACGGTGGCACACGTCTGTGTTCATTCATATGGGTCCTCACATGCGCATACTGGAGCTCTACCTGCCACAAGGTCTGTGTGCGAATGAGAGGGTGGGTGAGAGATGGGAAGCTGAAAAGAATGGGGAGTTTGTTCAGTGTCCTGTATCCTCAGCTCTCTACTCTTCTGGAGAGTCAGAGAGTGTGGCAGCCTGGGATCCAAGAGAATTTGAGGCCAATCTCTGGGCTCATTTGGTGGGCTGATGGAGTGACCAGTGTGGGCATGGAGAGCCAGTGATTTCTGCACCATGTTCACTGAGGTAGAGGTGGAAAGGGCACAAAGGGATCGGGCTACCACAGTGGATTGGGCACCACTCAGCTCCTAGGGCTGAGAATTTTCTGCTGCCACTGCACATAGGAAGAGGAGTTAGAGTGAGAGCAGCCTGGACGTGGAGTTGGTTGATGTGGAGAAAAGTGGAGATGGGAGGCCTTCACTTTTCAAGCAACAGGGAAGTGGACAGGCGCCTCCACCACGGGGATCCTGGCAGGGGAGGGAGAACCTTGGCATCCTTTGCCTCTAGATTCCTAGGTGTGCCCTTCCCTGTCTGCTCCTTCCCTAGGTCCACCATCTCCCTTGCTCAAGATGTCACAGTCAGGGCTGAGAAGGTAGCTCAGTGGTACAGTGCTTGCCTTGCATGCCTGAGTCCCTGGGTTCGAATCCTCAGGACCACATAAGCAGAAAAAGCCAGAGGTGGCGCTATGGCTCAATTTGTAGAGCACTAGCCTTTAGCTGAAGAGCTGAGGTACAGCACAGAGGCCAAGTTCAGGCCCCATGACTGAAAACAAAAATGTCACAGTCAGTGCCCAAGACTCTGATGATGGCAACTTATGCTCACTGGCATGGTTCGTGCATGCAGGGCCAAGGAGGTCTATGCATTCAGCCTGACTGGGAGCCATGGTGGGGGCTTATTCATGGGAAACAGAGGCCAGGGTTTCCTGCTCTAAAGCCACCCAACAGAAGCCCTTGAGGTAACCCTCCAATGTGGTTTCCACCTCCATCACCAGGACCATGTTACTGGTCCTGCCGACCATGGCGCTGATCCTGCCATCTATCCTGAAGACACAGTCCCTGACTCCTCCTGCCTGCTCTGAGGAAGTGACCACTGTGTGAGGGCTGCAGGTAGAATCCAGGCCTATGACATTGATTTGATATATCTGTGCTTATTATTTTATACCATTATAGACTTAACCATTTTTAATTTCCAAAGGCTAATATACCAGTGACAATTGTCCACCTCTTAGGATGGTGGGGAACAACTAATGGAACCAGAAGTATGGCACAATCAATTCAGCTCCACCATGGTATGGACTTTCTTTGTACACAACTCCAAATCTCACTCCCACGATTGGTAGCGGCATACTCATCCTCTTTCTCCAACATGTTTAATGGTAAGAATGGAAGCAAACAGCCAATTACATCCAACTGTGATGTGGTGCTGGTGGTACCCACTGCTTCTTCTCCTACTGCTCCAAGCAGCAGCACCTCTGCACCACCTCTGCCAGCACCAGGCAGTGCAGGATGAGCTTCCTTTCTGCAGCCAGTTCCTTCTAAAGACCTGGCCCCAGAGCTTCTGCACAAACAGATTTGACTCTTTCTGGAACCTGTTCTTGCTGACACCTCCACTTGGTACATTCTCCAGGGATCCAGATTTGAAATGGAACCTTCAACGTCTGTTTCTTTGAAGACAGGCCCTTTCTCCTCAAGCCAGGTTAGCAGATTGTAAAAAGACAGGAGAAGCCTCACTTTAGACAGCGCATGGTGGGGAGCAGGTGGGGAGGCTTCCCACCTTCTTCAGACATGGCCTCACTGTGCACTCAGCTTCCTTGCAGCTGTGGCTCAATGTGGCAGCTCAGTGACAGCCAGATGTCCATCACGCCACAGGCCATCAGAATTCTTAGTGCTCTTCTCATCACATTCTCATGACTCTCTCAACCTAAACATGCCAGAAAATACCAACAATTGGGCCCAAAGCAGACAGGGTCCTCTGTTTCCCTTCTGTTTCCCACTGAAGCTCCCATCAGAGCTCCTGAAAACCTACAAAGTATGTAAAACGCCACTTCTCCAAATTGTGACCCCTTTCTCTGGGTTGTTTCTCTTCCGATAGCAGGGAAGAGCTACGATGTCTGCCTGTGCAACAGTGAGGACATTTTCCTGGGTAAATTCTGTCCTAAAGGAAGGGTCTGGTTCATTCATAACCTGAGTATGTATGGCAACTGATGCTACCCAGTCCACTGGAGCCAGGCCTGGGCTCACTGAGGGGGTTCCTCTTTGACATCACTCATGAATATTTACAAATGCAACTACTCACCAACCAGGGCACTGGCAATTCATTCTTCTCTTTGCAGGAAGCCACATCCACACCTGTGTCAGCATGTCAGCACATGCTTTGTAGGCATGGCCAAGGTGGCGATTCTGGAGCAAGTCCTGAAGAACCAGACAGGGCCTGTGCCTCCTTCCACAGCATCCTGAGGACCTAAATACAGGTGTTTTTGTCACTACTTCTAAATTGGATATCTGCGTGAGTGGGTCTTGAACAAACTGAATACATACTTTGACAAAATTTAAACACAGCCAATAAATTAGTAAGGACTATGGTATGTGAGGACTGTGAGAAGATGCAGACAGTACCATGTGTGGTCTATACTTGTTTCTGTGTGCTTCCCGCATGGCTGGGGAGAATGCACACAGTGTGAGGACCGCAGAAAGGCAACTGGAGTGAGGACTGAAAATCCCTGGATCAGTTACTAGTTGAATAGCAAATGTTGCCTTGGTCCTTTGCTTGTGGACTTAGCTGGGGAGGTACTGGGAACTTAGCAGTTGGGACCTAGTGCAATAGATCACTGGTTAAGTGTCTGTCCTGCCCCTTCCTGTACTGTGCAGCCTGCTTTGGCTGCATGAGAGAAGCAGCCTCTGCCATTGCTCACTGCTGATGAGATGATGTCTGACTTACCACCAAGCCTGGACTGAAGAGGCCGGAAGCAAGCCAAAACACTCCTTTCCTCCTTGAAACAGTTTCTCTCCGTCACTTGTTGTAGACAAGGAAAGTCTAACAACATCCTTGCGAAGTTTCTTGACTTCTGTGCCTCAGTTGCCCCTTCAAGGAGTCAGTATACAGACTGAGTCAGAAAACACTTGTAAAAGGCCAGACCATTCCGGAGCAGGTTAATATGTAAGGATTCCACTTCTGAGCATTCACCCAAATGATCACAAACAAAACCATACGAAGGCTACCAGCACAAATATGTTTATCGCAACATTATTCACCATAGCTGAGATATGGAACTAACCCAGATGTCCCTCAGTAGATGAATTGATCAAGAAAATGTGATATATATACATATATACATATATATATATGTATATACATATACACATATTTAAAATGGAATTCTATGCTTCCATCAGAAAGAATGACACTAACCATTAGTTAGGAAATGGAAAGACTTGGAAAAATCATATTCACTGAAGCAAGCCAGACCCAAAGAAATATAGGCCCCATCATTTCCCTCATATGCAATTCTTAATATACATCTAGCATTATTTTGTCAGATGAGCAGAAAAGCTCAACAGCTATATACATATGACCATAGAAGATGATGCTAGGTGAAATGAACCCCAAGATATGGACCCAAGAGGTCTTCCTTTATTGTAGTTTTTAATGCATTATGTGATTATTTGGTTTCTTTTGTATGTTCTTCCCCCTATGGTATATCCCCTGTTTGTCACTCTACTTGATTTTGGTACCCTGAATCTTTTTTTTTTTCACCTGTACCCTGAATCTTCTATATACATTTGTATAATTTGGGGAGGGGAAGGGAAATAACAAATCGCTGAAACAAGGACACAGGATGACCCATTGGAACAATGATACTCATAGGACAGTATATTGGAAATGAAATTTACAACTTTCCTTCTGGGGAGGACTGAGGGAGGTGGGGATGGCAAGGGATAGTGAGAGAAGAAGGGCAGGGGTAACAATGCTCGACAAGAAATGTACTCATTGCCTTACTCATATAACTGTAACCCCTCTGTACAGCATCTTTATCATAAAATAAATAAAATAAAATATAAAAAAGAATTGAAAAGGCCAGGCCATGCTACTCATGAGACATTGCCTCCTACTGCATTTGTATAGCAGGGATTGGAGGGATGACCCCTGCTTTTCCAGGCAATTCGTGTGTGTGTGTGTGTGTGAGTGTGTGTGTGTGTGTGTGTGTGTGTGTCATGGGGCTTGAACTCTGGGAGTGGGCACTATCCCTCAGCAATTCAGCTCAAGGCGTGCACTCTACCACTTGAGTCACATGCCAATTCCGGTTTTCTGAGACTCAAGGGGTGTCCTGCCCAGGATTGGCTTTGAACCTCGATCCTCAGATCTCAGCCTCCTGGGTAGCTAGGATTACAGGTGTTAGCCACCGATGCCCGGCTTTTTCTAGGCATTTTATGGGCTACTATCATAATCAGCCTGTGTCCTCATTCACTCAACTATACTATCTGAAAGTAACTTAAGGAATTCTGTCCCAAGACAACAGTTATCAGTAGCTCTTAAGGTGTGATGATAAGGTCCAGACAGATGCCATGTTTGAGCTCAAATATCTCCTTCTAGCAGAATGGGATAAGCTGGAGGGAGAGAGAAAATAACTGGAAACATGTGAAAGCATTCCTCCAAGGCACCATCAGAAGCCAGGAGTGTAGTCATTGGCTATGACAGCTAAAAGACATTGGACGTAAATAAACTTTAGGTAATATAAACAGTCTGATCTATCTCAGAATGTTTATCATGTCTTCAGATATGAGGCAGTGAAGAATGGCAACACGTTTCTCACACCTCCATTTCTTCATCAGTAAAGCTACGTGAAGGGAGCGGAGAGCAGGGGTGCAGGCCTAGAGTCCCAGTTACTGGGAAGGCCGAGGTTATGAGGATCACTTGAGTCAACTACATCAGGATCCTCCTGGGAAATGCAGAGAGAGGCCAATCTCTAAATTGAGTATGCAAATAAAGAAGTATACAGTAAAGATTCTAGTATTTGACCTCCGCAACATGCTTCAATTCTATAAGCAACTATTCACTTACTGGACAATGGAGGCAACACAAGTGGGACTACTTTCTAGTCTTTGCAAGCTGTCAGCTCTGCTGCACCTGGACAACTGGCTGTGTCCCTTGGGGTTTTCTCTGTTGTCACCCTTACATATAGTGGACACAGCCTGAAGTCTCCTTCTCATAGGTTTCTCATGACTTACATCTGTCCTTGGTCTCTAGGTACACAGTGATTTACATATACTGCTCCTCTTCTTGCTCTGCCAAAGTAGCAGACACCAGGAAATGCTTACCCAAGAAGGAAACCAGCCAGGTCAGGCAAGAGATGCCACTAAATGCAGGAAAGCCAAACTGCTCTTCGTCCATTGGCCAGCTGTGGGCAATCACAAATGCTGTGAGGACTAGGAAGAAGAGAATGCCTGACAAAGAGCAGGACCCAGGTACATGGGAGAGCGCATGGACACAGGGACCTTGCCTTACCAGGCAGCCAAATGTAGCCTCAACTAAGAAAGCCTCTTGTAGGTTTGAACTTCAATTTTGCTAGTAAAATGAGACATGCTTCTGGCAATAGCACACAATTCAGCTAAACAGTATGATGAAAAGATCTAGGCTTTAAATATAGGAAGTTTACATGTACTTAGGTAGACAGCTACCCTCCACACCCCCAAAAAAAAACGCCTCTACAATAAATGATTTAAAGTCACCCACAATCCAGGCACAGTAGAGCAAACCGTAATACAAGCTACTTGGGACATGGACACTGGATGAGTGTGGTTCAAGACCAGCAGTCTGGACAAAAGTTACTGAGGTTCTATATCAAAGTCTATATCAAAGTATAAGGGCTTGTGGTCCCAGTACTCACAGGCAGGACTAGGAAGGTCACTGACTGGATCTGGCACCAGGTAAATGTTCAGGACCCTCTGACAAACAAACTAAGGCAAAAGGTGCTGAGGCATAGCTCATGTGTAGCAGGTAGAGAGTCCTGAGTTACTTGCCACTGCCACCAATAATGTTAAAGTCTTCTGGCAAGAGGAGAACAACCATGGTCTGCTAAGCTCCTGAAACCCAGATTCTTATCAACTCCATGTGAAATGGCGCACATCATGAAAATGGAAATAGAGAAAACAGCAACACTGGTCAGCTAGTTCAAGAGCATCAAGTTGATGGAGTGCTAAATATTCCCTTCTCTCTTCACAAAACCACACTCTGGAGAGTGTATGCACTAGAATTTCTGCCTGATTATGAAGCTGACTGCTCATCTTCGTCTTTAGCCCAAATCTTAAACAAAACCTAAACTTAAGACTTCATATACGTTATATTAAATTTGTCAATCATTTCTTATGATTCTCACATTAACACTTAAAACATTGAGCGTGTTCTACAGAATGACATATACAAGTTGTAGCTGGGTGCTGGCAGCTCATGTCTAGAATCAGCTACTTGGGAGACTGCAATCTGGAATCATGGTGTGAAGTCCATTGGGTCAGGAAAGCCTGTGACGCTCATGTTCATGAACCACAGAAAGCCAGAAATGGAGCTGTGGCACATGGTGGAGTGCTAGCCCTGTGAGGAAAAGCTAAGGGAGAGCACACAGACCCTGAGCTCAAGCCCCAGCCTTGACACACAGAAAAATTCTGAGGAAGCACACATAAAAATTCATGGAGGCACTAGGACCTAAATGAAGCATCAAACTTAGAAGCAAAATCAGCTCCCTCCAGGCTGCTCACCATCTCCTGAAGTCCATCTCCTCTGAACACCTTACACAACAGCTCCTACCACCTCCTGCCACAAACTGAATCTAACCTGGTTCTGTCACATGACTGGTGTGTGAGCTCAATGCCTGTGACCTTCTATTGCTTTACCTGTTCTGAGGGGAAGAATTACCAACTTTACATGGCTATTATGTGAGTTTCTGACACATATTGTTTTCCTTCTTGTCATAAGTCTCCTACATCATTTTCAAACATCTGGACAATGATATTCCATTGTTTTGAAACTCATGAGGAGATAAAGCATCTTATCACCCATCAAAGTCGAGGATCCTAAAGATCTCCTTCTCTAATAAAAGCCACTCAGATGGTCCTGATACCCATATGAGCATCCATCCAACCACAGGAGCAGGTATCTCTAACAGGGTCCTTTTCTACTGTTCTTGCTCAAAGAATGACCACCATACAATAAATGATCCGATGTACAATACATGAAATACTGTGCACCCAGCCAATGTTCCTCTAACTTCCCGGACAAGGAAAGGAGCTGAGTGTTCAATGAGTCTGCAGACTAAAACTGACCTGTGAAGAGAAGGGACCCCTTGAGCAGTTCTTTCCCCAGCACTTCTCTTTGCAGGACTGCAAATTCCTCCATCAAGAGTTCTCTGTGTTCTTTCTGTATGACTTTTCCTGTCATGACAAAAATCGGGTATACAAGCCAGTTTGGAGTACTGGGTACAGGTGCACATCTTGAGAGGCTGTGTCAGCCTCAGGACAGGACAGGACACGTGTCCCTTACAACTATTTCTCTTAGGAAGGTCCCAGTGTCTCACTACTATAATCCAAGCTACTCTGTAGGCTGCGATCCTTGGACCAGCACAGAAACAAGTACTATCCTGGCCAGGTGTCTAGGCTCTCCCCATACCTCCTCCCACATGGCAGCTGAAGGAGACTCCAGGTGGAAGCTCAAAACAAATAAAACTCTAAGAAAGCACGACGGTAGCCACCTGTCTCCAAAGACACCATGAAACTTCAGAAGTGTCTTGAGAGCCCACAAGGGGTTAAACTGGGTTCTGGAAAGGATTCAGTTACACACACACACACACACACACACACACACACACACACACACAAACACACACACACACACACACACACATATACACACACACAAGCACATCTATGACCTGAACAGGAAGAAGTGAGACAAACTAGAGGAAGGGAGAGAATGTGCGACTCTATTGAAACTGAAGGAACCATGATTTATCAAATGATCGTGTCTTCAGGATCACTGAGAAACATTTATAATTCAAATCTTCAGTTGTACAAGTAAGATGTTAACAGTTTTTGATGTGTGTTGGAATATTCATATCAGGTGTGATGTTTCCCTGTATGTAAAACAAACAGGCTCACAGGTTGTTTGAGTTACACAAATTATCTAGAATAAAATAGAACACACAGGCAGGCACCAAAGACTCACAACTATAATTCTAGCTACTCAGGAAGCTGAGATCTGAAGATCAAGGTTCAAAGTCAGCCCAGACAGTAAAGCCCAGGTAGTATAGTTCTGTCCAATTAACTACTAAAAATAGTCACAAGTGGAGCTGTGGCTCCAGTGGTAGAGTGCTAGCCTTGAGAAAAGAAGCTCAGAGATAGTGCCTTCCCCCTGAGTTCAAGCCACAGGAATGGCACAAAAAGAAAAAAGGATTGCAATCTGTTCACAATGTGTTCTTTTATTTCACACTTGCCTGTGTGTTGGGGAAACGGGAATCATATGGGACAGGCCCCCTGGGACTCAATGTCAGGCTCCTTCACTGGAATTAGGGACTCAGTAAGATAGTTATTGGCGTGATGGTAGTGAAAACACAAGACTGGTTGAATCACAGCCCTATAATGTCTTGCAATACCAGAAGCTTTACAAAGGACGAGCAAGTGTCCAGCGGCCTCCAGGGCCAGTACAAATGTTACTCCATACTACGACATCATGACCTAGCTGGTCCCAACAGCTGGCCTCTGGGAGGCTGCACTCAAGAGGGCTAACCTCCAGAGCATCAGGCAAAATGTGCTAGGGAACCCATCCCTATAAGGACAAAGCCAATACTTACTGCTCCTTATCAGTCGTTCCCAGTTGACTGCAGCCACAGGCAGAAGCAGGAAAGGCAGTGCCAGCTGCAGAGATGAGATACCTCTTGGCCTCAGAAGTATTTGCAGCCTGCGATGAGGACCCTGTAAGCCACGTAGTGCATTAGAGTCGGTTCCATCATTTTGCAAACATTTGACCTCCCTCCCTCCTTCCCTGTCAAAACAAGGAAGCTCACAAATATGGTAAACAATCTTGTTCTTGGGGTGAAAAACACCGATGGCCAGGGGGAAATCTGTGCTGTTGAAGTTTCATCATTTTCTCTCCTTGTAATTTTCCACCTTTGCTGCCTGTATCCAACACTTCTACTACTGCATGAGATGCTGAACTCAGTAGGCTAGAACAACAAGGGGCAGAGGAAGTTAAATGTAACCTCCTTAGGAAAGAAAAGAAAAAGTAGTAAGGAAATAAGGAAACAGTCTCACTCTTAGTTTTGGCATCTCTAAGAGGTAATGTTGAGTGGATCGTCTCAAAGATCCTCCCAATATGATAACATGACTCACTAGTCATCAGCAAAAAGGAAGGTAGAATACAATAAAATGCCAGGTTCACCCTTCCAATGAGAAAAGCACAAAGAATACAATAATACCATGCATCAACAAAAATATGGCATAAGCCAGATACTGGTGGCTTGTTCCTGTAATCCCAGCTACTCAGGAAGCTAATCTGAGGTAGCAGGGTTTCCCAGTGAGCCTAAGCAGGATAGTTCATGAGTCTTTGCTGACTAATTAACCATCAAAAAGCCAGAAGTGGAGGTATGGCTTAAGTGACAGAACACAAACCTTGAGTGTAAAAGCCAAGAGAGAGTTTAAGGTCCCAAGTTCAAGGCCCAGTATCAGAATACACATGCGCACAAAAACACATGGAATGACCAAGATCACATACACAATGCTAAATGAAGTGTAAATTAGCATAACCTGTGTGGAGAACAATTCACTTACTAGAATAAAGTTGAACAAATTCAACAGGGCCTTTATTCAGAGTCCAGGATAACCCGTTTGGGTTAAATACATAAAAATATGAATTACCAAATGCTTCTTTCAGTGGAATTAAAAACAATTTCCGGGGCTGGGAAGGTGGCTCAGTGGTAGAGCGCTTGCCTTGCATGCATGAGGCCCTGGGTTCGATTTCTGAGCACCCCATAAGCAAAAAGAAAAAAGCCGGAAGTGGCGCTGTGGCTCAAGTGGTAGAGCACTCGCCGTGAGCTGAAGAGCTGAGGGACAGCGCCCAGGACCACAGTTCAGGCCCCACGACCGGACCTAAAAAAAAAACAAAAAAAACAATTTCCATGTCTAGCAGTGAATAAGAGAAGGACAATGCACTTGGGTGGTCTAACAGCTTAGTCTTCTTTGCGTTGCTGAAACAAATGCTTGAGGTGAATCAGCTTATACAGGAGAAAGGTATTATTTCAGTTTAGTTTTGGAGGTTCCAGTTCAGGGTCATTTGGCCCTTTGCAGGTCTGTGGCAAGGAGTACCACCATAGTGGGACTATACACATAATAGCCAAGGAGAGAAAAAGACAAGGGCCCAAGATCCCAGGATCCACTTCAAAAGCAAGCTGCTGCCCACGCCCCCACCATTGACCTACCTTCCCTTCCATCAGGCTCTTCCTCCTGAAGGTTCCACTTCTCTTTCCTAGTGCCTCTGACTTGTCACTTGGCCTTTCACACATGAGCTTTATACGACATTCCAGATACAAACTCTAGTATCCAATTCACAGCAGTTAAAGGGATAAATAGTACTTGTATAGCTCCTCGTTATGTTTTTCCAAAGAACAGATAAAATAAGAAGTTGATCAATATGTAGATCATTCCTGAGAATCAGAAAAGAAAGCAAAGCAGAGAAAAGAAAAGAAAAGAGGGAAAAGACTTTAAAAACCAAGTAATTGGACTGGGAAGGTGACTCAGTGGTAGAGCGCTTGCCTTGCATGCCTGAGGCCCTGGGTTCAATTCCTCAGCACCACATAAGCAAAAAGAAAAAAGCCAGAAGTGGCGCTGTGGCTCAAGTGGTAGAGCGCTAACCTTGAGCTGAAGAGCTGAGGGACAGCGTCCAGGCCCAGTGTTCAGGCCCCACAACCGGACCCAAAAAAAGAAAACCAAATAATTTTCTGACCCAGGAAAGGACATAGAGTTCAGCAGAATCTCGGCAGAAAACACTTCCAGGATGCTCACACACAATAGGGTTTTACAAATAACAAATAAAGTTCCCTAAAACCTACTGTATACTATTGATGATTTCTATTAAAACTTACTTATTAGTAACACAAATTATTTTAAAAGCTATCATTACTGGAAAGCTACTTTTCGTGCTCATTTACATGCATTATTTCATGGACTCTTCTTAGTGACTTTCTATGACAAGCATCTCAGTTATATATTACTTCATGAAAACAATCCTAAAACCCAGTAGTTTCAAACAATAACGATAGTTTAAGTCCTCTTATAAAAGGGCCAGGGTTGGTGTGTATTCAAGCAGAGTCAACTAAACCCAGGCTTACTGGATGATCCACTTGCAAGACTGTCATTCACATGGTCAGGATTGGTCCCAGGCATTTACCAAGAGCTCAGCCAGGCCTGAGGGCCACAGGGCTCAATGATTCCTACATAGGTGTGGGCTTCCTCACAGCATGGCGGCTGGATTCCAACAGCAATACATGTCTAGGTGCTTAGCATTTTCATCATAGAGCTTTGCTAGGAATATAATAATCAATTTCACTACAGTCTGTCTGTCAGTCAAGGCTGTCACAACATAATCCTGGAGACCAAAGAGAAGACACATCAACCCTACCACAAGGTGAGAGGAGTAAAAAGGGAGCAGTGTGGGAAATGTGTGTCCAGAGATCCTTGTATGGCTATCTTTGGAAAATTCAATATGCTACAGAGTCCTTGGTATCATCTCCATTTGGAAAATGGAGAAACTGTGTCCTACACAGACTCAGACACAGTTTTCTAGGCACACACACAGCTCACAAGGCAGAGTCCTTGCCAGCAACTCTCCAGCTTTCTAGTTCTTCTAACATTTCTCCTGTAATTAATCTGGCCTGGATCATCTCTCCGTTCCTTTTCTGGGAAGGGTCTATGTCATGTCACTAACAGGAAGATGAAGGTAAACTTCCCATTATGGGAGATTTTGCTAAATGAGATACCTGTCCTTTCTCCTCAACTAAAATCTGAACTGCTTGGAGGACAGGAAGCAGCTCAGTAATACCTGGTATCCTCTTGAAATTTGATCTGGTTCCATGGGCACAACAGGAGTTCAATGAACTCCTATTTGAGATGCACCTACTTATTTCCAGCCTGTGTCTCTGACTCTCCACCACACTGTGAATGAAAGGCACAAGGAGAGGGGCTGGATGCTTGGTTCTAAGCTCCTGCTCCAGGTCCTCAACCCTCAACTCACATATAGCCCCTCATGTTATATTCCTTGAATGAATTAAGGAATGTATGCATGCATGAATGAATGACAGATGGGTCTAAGTGGGGTAGTGTTCCAGGTTTATCATCACTTTCTTGATCCAAACTAGCAAAATCTAGCATAAGAGATAGACAATGCCTTCTCATTGAGACCTCCAAGCCTAAGACAAGGCAACCTGATGTTTTGGTGGAAAAGTAAACCCAGTGGGCCTCATGTAGGAAAGAAGCAGATAAAGATGCATCACACAGAGGATGGCAGTGCAAAGAGTTTTTAGCTGAAAGAGAGAAAGGATGTAAGCTTTGATGTTTTCATTTTATGCTGGTACTGGGACTTGAACACAGGATCTGTACACTGTCTCTTAGCTTATTCACTCAAGACTGGTGCTTTACTATGTGAACCACATCCCCATTTCTAGCATTTTGGTGGTTAATTGAAAATAAATGTATCATGTACTTTCTTGACCTGGCTGTCTTTGAACCGTGATCTTCATAGCATTATAGAGGTGAAACACTGACAGCCAGATAGAAAGCTGCAATCTTTAAGCCTGTTCATCTTCTCTGACATTTTCTAACACTCTCCTTACTGGGATCCTGTGGTTAAGTGCAGAAGACACAAGGAGAAGAGGAGGAGGAAGCAGTCAGTGTTCCCTGATGCCTCCTCTACTCCATGCTGTCTGCTGAGTAGAAGCTTGGGTGTTTACTCCTAGACAGTTTCATAATGAAGTGAAATGGGGCTGGGAGAAGGCAGCTGCAACTGGAAGTAGGGACAAGAAGTAGCTGAGATGCAGCAACCAATTCCAGTTCACCAAGATTCTACATTGGAAATCCCACAGTTATCCTGAACTGTTAATGGAGTAACTCAGAGGTTCATTCTCCTTTACCACACATCTCTGTAAATAAATAAAACCCTCGGGCTTCTACTTACCATGCCAATCTAAACCTGGTTTATCCCAGGTTTTTCCCATCTACCACACTTTCTTGGTTTGAAAAGAAATCACTGCCGGAAGGTACACACATTTTCGTTTCCCACAATGAGTGGCACAATGAATTGTAACTGTGGAGCAATTGTGGAGACATTTTTCTATTTTTTGCTTTGCCTTCTAGAGTTCCTCCAGCAAAAATTAATTTTGCTGAGTCTTGACCCTTAAGGGTCTTAGAGGGAGGTCATAAACTGACCTCAATTGAAATGCTGAACTGAAAACTCTTTGTACAACTACTTAATAAGATATGTATGTATGTATGTGGATTTATAAAACATTTACTAAATAGCATGCTGTGAAAATGAAGAAATAAGAGAGAGGTAATGCATTCTCTTGTCTAATTTCTCTATTGTGTTGAAAGGTATGTTTTCATAAACACAGTCTACCAAAATATTGGGTACTAGTACATCTGTAATCCTAGCTACTCAGGAGGCTGAGGTCTGAGGATCATGATTCCTAGCCAGCCCAGGCAGAAAAGTCCGTGAGACTCTTATCCTCAATTAACCATCCAAAAGCCAGAGGTGAAGGTGTGTGTGGTCAAGTAATAGAACTCCACCAGCCTTGAATGAAAAAAGCCAAGTGAGAGCTCCTGAGACCCTGAGTTTAAGACTGTTGAGAGAAAGATTCATATGATCAGTGAGCATAGTTTTTTCCTTGCCTGGTCTGTAGTAATTTGCTGTGCTTTATCAAAGGCACTCAACAAGCACCTCCACAGTCTGCACTTCTCAGCATGGTAGGGGAACAAAGTCCGTGCATGGCTGCAGCTGTGTGACTACTGAGGAGGGAGCTTGAGTCTTCCTCCACTGTGAGGCCCTGCCTGGGAATTCAGGTCCTGACACCTTATCAGCTGCCTGGCAACACCTCAGTTATGAGGTAAAGAAGGATATGTTAAGATGGTAACAGAGCTGGGAAATTCCTACCACCCAGTGATGTCCCAGGCTCAAACAGCAAGGCAGGCCTCAGTGTCTGTGATGACATGTGAGAGGCCAGGTGCCTGCAGGTACCATGGAAAGCCAGCACTCTCTCCACTCTATAAGCACACCACCCTGCTGTGCCCTGAATGCCTTTGCTCCTTTATGTGTTTACTACCTGGTACTTTCCAGCCCTTACAGCATGTTTCTTCTTCCATTAAAAAAAAAAACAAAAACAAAATCAGCTCCCATTCTATGATCACAGCCTCATACTTTTGAACAAGAACGCTAAGGGACAGCATCCAGGGTCTGAATTCAAGCCCCAATACTCTCCTGTGCATCAGTGCTGCCCATGCCTTTTCTAGACCCAATTATACTTCTACATCTCTTAAAGTCACTGCAGCTTAGTCTTATCTGAAGCAAGAATATCAGCTCCATCACAGGTCTGCTGTGCTCACTCTGCTTCATCAAATATGGGTTAACAGAAACAAATAAACAAACATTTAAGTATTCCTTTTAAGCCAGCAGGAAGGTCTCACACATTTCTTCCACATTCTGGGAACTGTTCACTCAGGTTCCTCATCCAGAATCCTATCCCTGAAAAATCTGTAGCTTCCTTTGGGAAAAATCTCAACACAATCTTTGTAAAGCCTCCCCTGAGCCTCCTAAGGCAGTGGAGAGAGTTCAGAACTCCAGGGATGTCTTTGGAAATGACCTTCAAGCCAC